CTAAGCTTCAATAGATTAGAATGAATAGAATAAGTAGAAATGTGAAACTTTGCAAGTCATTTTCTAAGGAATCAGTATATGTATTTTTGGAATGTATTTAGAAAAACAAACGGTTTATGATATTTTATTGTTGTTCTAATCATAAGCTTTTATCCAATTAATTAATTTGGACGATTCGTATATATAACCTGAAAATCAAACCGTGGATCATTAGAATGATTACAGTCGATTAGATGTTAAAGTATGGAACTCCTATCTGCTTTCCTCTCACCCTTGTAGAATCACACTGAGACATGTTCTTGTATCCGAGTTGATGAAATCAAAAATCGTTTAACAACAGTGATAAAAAGAACATTCTATGCGGCAAAACTGCGAATAACGTTCAGTATTAAGAATGTGTTTTCTGTATCCATAAAAGATAAGCTCTCACCTCTAGTCGCCTCCATGTGCATCTACCAGTTCACCTGCTCCTGTGGAGCCAGGTACATTGGCCGTCGCCAGAGCTCGCTTTCAACTCGGATACGGGAACATGTCTCAGTGTGATTCTACAAGGGTGAGAGGAAAGCAGTTAGGAGTTCCATACTTTAACATATAATCGATTGTAATCATTCTAATGATCCACAGTTTGATTTTAAGGTTGTATATACGATTCGTATCCAATTAATTAATCGTCGCTTCATCTTTTACTGTTGATTGATTACCTTAAATTAATTGTAAACTTGTTTCGCGAAATTGCTCTACAAAAGTCTTAGTGATGTAATATATTGAGTTTTTTATGGTGAGTTGTGATCGTGTATTTTATGTTCACAATCACGTGAGTTTTGGAAAATACATAAAGAATACAGAATGACACAAAGAACTTGACTGGTCTTTCCAGTGTTCTGATTGGTAACTTGGGGTGTTAATGCATTTAATGTTAGTGGGCGCAAGCGAAATTCAGACAGTGTGGTTCAAGGTTTAAAATATGTACTCAAAAAGATGGAAAAAATCACAAAAGTGAAAATTCACTTTGAGTTCAGTAAGCTTTCTGAAAGTTAGTTTGAATGGATATATAATCCTGTAGTATTTATACGAACTAATGATTCCTTTGGACAATAATTCGAATACTTCTAATTATTATAAATCCTTTTCACTAAATATTAATGTATGTACGCAATATTTACTAAAAAAAGAAATGAAGCTCTTAGTTACGCAACAGTTCGTCAAATTAACAAAATTTGTAAATATCTAGGAAAGATTTTTTTTCCGTTTCAACCCCATATTTAGGTTATGTTTGGAAAAAGCACATTTCACTTCTATATTTCAAGTGGATACTATGATATCTAACCTCGGTGTAGCAGTTTATTTGGATACCATAGGTGTTGGTCCTTCTACTCTAAAACTAATGGATCGGTTGGACGTTGTGCTTACTAAAATGTTGCAAGCTGGTTTTCAGTGACAAAAAGTAAAGTGTGAATTTCCGCTCGAGTCTGTTAGATAACTTGGATATATATTTGATAAGGATGGTCGTCGGTCAGATCCATATAATACAAATGCTATCAAAAACATGCCCAGACCGACTGATGTTATAACGCTCTGTTCATTTTGGGGGATTGTTGGATATTATAGTATGTTCATACCTTACATGTACATATTGCGACACCCATTAAACCAACTTTTGATAGCTAAGCAACATGGTACTGCACAAACGATTGCCTGGATTCTTTCGACGAAATAAAAAGAATTTTATCTTCTAAACTATTGCTGACCGATTACAATCTTAGGCTTGAAATAATTGTGGTCGCTAATGTTTCCAATTGTGGGATTAGAGCTGTCATTAGTCATCGTTTTCTTGATGGTAAAGTAAAGTCTATTACTCATGTATCCCAAACTCTGAACCTGGCTGAACAAAAATATATGTTCAAATTGAAAAAAAACTAACTTTAGTTTTTGCAGTAAAGAAATTTCATAAACTGATTTATGCTCGTTGATTTACCTTTCTAACGGATCACGAGCCGCTCATATCTGTATTTGGATCAAAGTCGGGTATTCCTGTATACACGGCAAATCGATTACAACTCTGGGTCATTGCGTTACTAGTTTATGATTTCCGAATTCTATATAAATCAACAGAAAAGTTTGGGAAAACTGATGCTTTGTCTCAACTGATTACCAGTCAGAAGCAGGAAAGTGAAGATGTTATTATTGAAACTATATCGTTGGAAGAGAATAATCACCAAATACAAGTTGCTATAAAAGCAAAACCATTATCCGCTGGAAATATTAAATGCTATACTCAAAAATACGAAGAGCTAAAACGGATTATTAGTTACCTCGAACATGAGTGGCCTACTCATAGAGACAACAATAACATTGGACAGTATACTAACCAACGGGATTCCCTATCACTCGTGGACGGGTGCCTGATGTTTGGAGATCATGTAGTTGTAACCATAAGCTTACGTCGCAAGGTGATGTTAGAACTGCATACTGCACACCTAGGGGTAGCACGGATGAAAGCAATTGAACGTTGTTATGTCGACTGGTCAAATATTGATGCTCAAATCAAATATGTTGCGAAATGTTCTGCATATGCAAAAGTCGCTAAAGCTTCTTGAAAGGCAGAAATGCAAAGTTAGGGAGCAACGATAAATCAACAGTCAAGAGTGCATGTGAATTTTACCGAATGGCCAGAAGTTCATTACATGAAGTCTATATCAACGAAAGCTACTGTAGAAAAATTGAGACAGGCATTCAGCTGTTTTCCGTGTCCAGGTGTATTGGTATAGGATAATGAACCTCAATCTACCTCCGTGGAATTTTTTAAGCTTTGCATCTCCAATACACTTAGGCATACCAAGACACCTCCGTGTCATCTGCAATCTAACGGGTTATTTGAGAGAATTGCGGACGCCTTTCAAAGAGCACTACTTAAAGCTGAGGGAGGAGAATTGTAGGATGTAATTCAAAGATTTTTGTTAACCTATTGAGCAACACCAAACCCAGAACCGAATAATTAAGAAAGCTCAGCAGAAACGATGTTTGAAAAGGAAATTAGGATACCAATAGAACAAATGAAACCAAGACTTAAAACCAGCCTCTGTAGGAACAAACGAATGGAACAACAATTCAATAAGGGACATAGTGTATTGTCCAGAAAGTTCAGTGTGGGGCAAACGATAGTAGCAAGAGATTTCCATGGAGTAAAGACAACCTGGAAGATTGGAACAATAATACGTATTAAAGGAAAAGTCATTTATGAGGTAAAAATTGGAGAGAAGATATAGGTACGATATGCAAACCAAATATGGCCAACCAGACAAGAGTGGGAAACTGAAAGTAATTTAAAGCCGGCTATACTATTAAACACATTAACTGGATTGGATAATGAAACTAAAAAGCATTCAAGTAACAGGAGAAAGTGTACAACACCTCCAAGCGGTCGCAGAGCATCTGACGAAAACCTAATTGAATAAGAATAGGTCCTTATGGTCTTTATTATCCTTAATGCTTCAAAAGGGGGTGTTGTATCCGAAGATTAAATTATGGGCAACTTCCGAGAACTATTTATAGACTGTTATTATATATATTCTTATTGTATAACTGTTAAGTGACGAAATTATATATATTTATATTTCCTTTATCGTAAGCTTTTAACTGACCTATTGGTTATTATTATACAATTCACTATCCCTAAGTTATTCCCAGTCTATTAGTTACGGTTTCTCACACTCACAGCCACTTTTGGCTCGGTCTTGTATAATTTTTACTTTTTATGGTATGATACGGTCTGGTTTGCTTGTATATACACTATGTATGTCTGAAATGGATTATCCATATAGTGGAGGTTGAGATTGTGTTTTGGACTTAATGGGTAGGGCTAGGCGATAAGTGACCATTTCGGGAAACAATAAGGATTCAGAGTTGACCCACGGCTGATAGTGCTGGTTGTCGTGTCATTGGTTTAACTCAAGAATACGGTCATGTAAATCGATATTGAGATTGGTGAATTTGCCAAGTGATAATTGACAGGGGAAAAAGACTTAACAGTGCGAATACCATTTAGAATTTCAGGTAGTTTTCTCCATAATCTGTGGGTGATTGGTTTATCTAGTCAGACTAGTAGACAGTCTGATAGGTATTAAATGTGTTATATACTTTCGTACTCTTGTTATTATTGTTGTTGGTTGGTAATATACTTAGACTCTGATCAGGCCAGTCACGTGTTCTTGATCCGAGTTGTGTTGAAGTCCTGTAGAATAGACACTAGGAGGGTTTCTAGTGTAACTATTTGTCTAAAATAAATTAATGTCCCGTTTGTCAGCGAAAACCGAGCATTATTTCAGGAATACAGTCTAAGTATTCAATTTTAGTGTTTCTCCAACATTCAGTCATCATTTATCATTTTGGGTAGCCCAGGAAATTTTGTTGTTGTAAACAATGACAAATTTAAGGTCAATAAGAACCAATCAACATCGAGGTGCACAGAACAAGCTGTGAAACGCATATGGAGAAATTCGAACACTTCACTTCTATCTGAAGTTTGTGCTGATGATGTCGTTCAGAAGAACGATGAAAGCTCCACGACCAAACCGTCCAGCTCAGAGAACAAAACTCCATCAAAATCATCCACCTGAGCTACAAATCTTCTCCACCATCGTAAATTGGGTTACTTTATATTTGTGCCAGATCCAATGTTGATTACAACTACATGACATTACTAGGTGTAAACACTAGTACAATAAAAAACAAGTATCTTTGTTTGAAAAATCAATTTACACTTTGTACATGATGCTAGTTAATTACAAAGTAGTTTAATGAAACAATCGGAAAATCGAGGATAGGTAAATGAAATATCGTAGTAACGAACGTATAAAAACCACCGATGCCTAAAAAATAGTAGACATAACATAAACTACTTTTATGGAAATGCAGTAGCATAAAAAACATCCAAACAATAAGTGTCAAAATGAATGAAATATAAAAATCAACTGTACATTAAGAATACCTACTTAGAGCAATCAAGTTTGGTTATATGGTCCAGCTGCCAAAAGCAAATAAGGATGAACATAGTGCAGTCCAAGGACAGAGGTACGTCTAGTGAAAAACACTTCATTGGCACATGCATCAGAAACATCAGGACCAGTCACTGAAGAATAATATCCTAAAACATTATGACCTCCGACTCCGCTGTTTTTATTATTTTTAGAGTTTTGACGGACAAACTGCTGTTTAGTGAATCGATGCAACGCCAAAAGATTAGTTTTTGAATTTTTATCATCGTTATTACCAGTAGCTGGAGTGGTAACAGCAGTTGACCAACCACTAACTGTATTCCATATTCGTAGAGCTCCCTCTAGACCACCTGAAGCCAAACGTCCTGAATTACCCGGACAAAATGCGAGAGATACAACCGGACCAGTTAACCACTGACTTGAGTCTGAGTTAGCTTCCTGAGAGTCAAAATCACTACTTGGCTGATTTACAGAAGTCCTAGATGCCGAATAACCTCCAAGCTGACCAACCTGTTGTCCAGACCCTAAGTCCCAAAGACACGTAGTACCACACCAACCTCCACTAGCCAGATAACGACCGCAAGGTGAAAACGCCAGACTCTGAACAGAACCCTGAAATATTGGAGAGAAAAACGGTGAATATAGCATATTGTGTAAAAATGAGACTAACGAATATATTGTATTTTATTTGTTTAATCACATAAACATTGGTGTAAGGAAACACTAAATATATATGCGCCACACAAGTCATTTGATTTGCGTGAGGGTTGGGATACTACCCGGGCGCCCAAACCGAAGCAAGTAGTTTTCTTAGGGGGGAACAACCCGAGCTTTTGACCAAGAGGTCTAATCCACATGGCAGTGGAGTAACGTAAGGAGATGCAGTTCCATGGTTTTATTTTATTTATTTATTTTAACACACAGATATCGGTACAAGAAGGCACCAAATACATATGCGCCACACAGATCTCATTGGATATGTGTGAGGGCTGTGATACTGCCCGGGTGCCCAAACCGAAGCAGGTGGTTTTCTTAGGGGGCCACACCCCGAGCCTTCGACCTGAAGATCTGATCCACAAGGCAGTGGAGCATCGTGAGGAGATGCAGTCCCATGGTAGCCGGTGACCAACGATTGGTTCATACGCCATTTGTTCCCTCAGGCAGGATACTGGAGCCCATGTGCACCATTGATTTGGGATCCTGTTAAGGCGCCGGACATTCGCTTTTCGTCCTCTCATTTTCGTAAATAACACCCCCGCCACGAGAAGGCAGTGAGTAGGACTTCCCTGGCAGGGGCTGTATACGCGTGGCCATGTGAGAGAATTTGGAGAGGGAGAGCGGACTCTCCCCAATTCTCGGCCGTACCAGGGCATTTGGTAGCCGGTAACCAACATGTTCCTACGTTTTTTTTTCTTTCAGGATCCTGGGGCCCATGTTTGCCATTGGTTTTGTATCAGGGTTTTCTAACTCCCTTAGATGAATCCTCCGTATCCACCAACCAGGTTCAAGCACCGGACACTCACTTTTCGTCCTCTCAATTTTATAATATTAATTTTAAAAAATTCTTGTGGGTAGTGATAGACTAAAAATATTGTCAAAACTCATTTCTTTTCAACTTCTATTTTTCAAATACTCATATATATTGATATCGGATGAGAGATAAAGCGTGAGAACTTACAATAAATAATTACTACCATATTTCTACGTGGTATCATGCAGGAAACGAATCTCAGTAAGCTCTTGGAGGAATGAGCTAATTAGGCCTCGAAATTTATGTTGAATAAAAGCATAAATGATGACACTAAACTATTGGGAGTGGCAAAAAAAATTTTGATGGAATGCTTTTAACGATTACACCAGATGATACTTAATCCTTATCAATTCTATTGAAGAAATCCCGTATTAAAATTACTCTACAAAATATGAGACTTGACAAAAATTAATGCCTATGTTTTTTAAAAGAAAAATAGATGAGGCTGTAGTGATATCAAGCAAACATTTTGTGAAAGTTTAATCTTCCGAATGAGCATAATGAAGACCACATTAAGTTCAATGTATATTTTGTGCATTTACTACTTGGAAAATTATTCATTAATTAGCACGTATCGAATCCTAACTTGCCAGTACAAAATTCACACCTACGGAAAAGTGACTGATGTCATGTTTTAGTTTGATTACCCCTAGGTCTCTTATAACTTACTCCTACAGTAGCAATCATCGCGCGTTGAGGTAGTCGGTGACTGTGGATATGTAACATATGTCCCAATCACCTCAGTCGATAGATCCACTACTTTGTCAATTGATTTGCCATACTTACCTACTACTCTGCATCTAACCTCAGGATTGCTGGCTTGATGGTCCTAAAATATACCACTGATATATATCGATATTTTAGTGAATTGTAGAAGTGATACAAACACATAACATTCGGTTTCTTCATTAACCCAGTTACCTGTTTATACAAAATTAGATTAGTGTACACAAAGATAAACTTCTATGATTAAAAAACAAAAGATAATCTTCAAAAGTAACCAGTAATAGATGTTTTATTCAGAGGAAATCCGAATCCAACTGTAAATATGAACCACTTACCTTATGACCTGTATAGATCCTTGTTAGCTTTCCAGAACGTACATCAAATAAGCGTACGGCTCGATCAGCACTACCAGTTGCAAGATAATTAACATTTGGATGTATACACACTGACGTTACATCGCCTTTATGTCCAACAAAAACACGTAAAGCATCTGGTGCATGATCAGTTGCATACAAATGTGCACTGCGATCAGCTCCTCCTGTCGCTATATAGTGACCATATGTGGGAGCCCAAGTAACACACCAAACAGGTAGAAGATGATCACGCCATGCAGTTAGAGCACCACCCCACATTAATGTGGACCATAATCGGACAGTGCCATCTGAGCTAGCTGAAGCAATGAGTTGTCGGTCAGGACTAAACGCAACACCGAACACACTGCCAAGATGACCTAGCAAATCCCGAGTTAGGTGGGTCTCACTAAAATAGTACACAGAATTAAGATACATATAACTTTTATGCAAGTTTTTGTAAAAGATAGACAATAGTTTAAAATAGTTTACTTTTCTGAAATCTGTTATTAAGGACTCTTACTAATTTAACATTATCAACGACGGGTGGTTTTATTACGATAACTAGTTTGACGTCTAATAGAAAACAAGATTTTATTTAATGAAGGTGCAATACGAAAGCGAGTAAAATTTGAGCGGTTAAAAGGGGTACTCAGTGAATTTTTGTATACAGTAACAATTTACCTGAGGTGGAAATTTTAACTGACAATGCATGTGAAAATGCTGAGGATCATACACAAGCCATACAAACATGTAACGATGAAAATAACGAGACAAAAACTGTTGTGCTGAATCACTTACGTCCGTAATGTCATGAAGTTACCAACTTGTTGAGTGAAGAGATTGAAAATTACAGCTGTCATTTATTGCCTTGTTTACATTCACCCCTTTGTTTTCCGTTCACAATTAGAACTCCCTGCAACTACTTTGTTGATATGGTTTATGATGTCTTACATCATTTTAGATTTAAATTATAGCTATTTAAGTAATCTAGTTTCTGTATCGGACTCTTAAATGAATTATGGTCAATATCTTGAACGGCTTCTATGAGTTCGAGTAGGTGAATTGCTATTGTTCAACTATTATTTGCTTTTTATATGTCGCCAGCACGGTTTGCTAAGAATGAATGGTTACACATATCAGGTTTATTCAGACAGGCTTTCAAAATAACCATTTCAGCTCGTTAAAAAGAAATTATTGGTTTAAATAGCAAGGCCGATCGTCAGTATAAGAGCCAAAAACGTTGAGAAGCTACAAACTACAACTGACGTGAGCAAAATAATAGTAATTAAACTAAGCTCCATACATACTTTATTAATTCAACGGAGGTTATATTTTCAAAGCAACAGAGGGTGAAATTACACCACTTCATTCCCTATTCTCGAACCATACTCTCAAAGTTATCTCTTATTATCAGTGCCACTACAGTCATTTCAGCTCATCAGTATTCATCTCCATGTGTTGATTATGGTTACTCCGACTAATACACACTTGTGGCGGGCCCTATGCTGATTATGACTAACTAGTGGAAGGTTTAGACCTAAAAAACTACGTAGAATGATTCATTCAGTCAAGCGCGATGTACAATCGGTACGTATGTACATAGAATAGGATATTTAGCAGAAAAATAACGTAACATTATCTGGAAATGGAACTACTTTAGAAAATCTCGGGAAATGACGACCAGCAACTAAACACTAAAAAATGACTCACTCATTTTCGTCATATAACATATTAGTTTTTACTCGAGAGTCATCTTTATCCAGTAAGCTCAACTCTGAAGCCGGAAGCATACGCCTTAATGATTCGGGGCCTAAGGACCAAACACGGATACGACCTGATCCGAATCCGGCAGCTAGTTGTGATGAGTCATCACTGAAACTGCAACATGTAACACCACCCCTTCGAATAGCTAGGGTTGACTCACCAGCCTGAGAATTGCATATTGTATAAAGGACTGTACTTGTACCGATTGATGACTTTTGTGGATTTCGCTGTTGATAATTACGTAGAAGGGTAGATATCTCTCGAGAAAGAGCTTGTTTGCTTTCAATGTATGACTCGCGCAGCTATAAAATTATAAATATACAACAGCTAGAACATAGAAGTACTAATAGTCGCAAACCACAGTATACAGTTATTGACAAAAAACTTACCTTCATAAATGGAATTTATAGAGAAAAAAGCTGTTATACGGTACTAATCATGATCAGAAATTCTATTAATTGTAAAAAAATAATCTGACGAACAAAAATTCTTCGCTTAGAGTACGAAAAGCGATTACTCAATAACCCTACTTGTAGGATGCGAGGGTTGGAAACAAGTAAAAAAACACTCATGATCATTGCGGACGTCTTGTGAATCTACATCCAAATTTGGTTTCAATTTTTGTTTCAAAATAATTTTTAGAAAATACAGCCTTTAAAATACACGATCAATGAAAGTACCTTAGGCAGGGGAATTCGATCAAGAGCTGGAGAGTTGGAATCAGATTTGCTAACATCTTTCGAAAGAGATGGTCTACCAGAATGTCCAGAACCTGAAGTCATACCATCTCTCCGCTTTTTCTTTTTTGCAACATTCTGATCCCCGTTGTCTACAAAAAAATAACCAGGAACATAAATAACAGTTTGGGCGATATTTTAATCACTATTAGAGTGAAATAATTACAATATTATGTCATTAGTCCTTTGGATACTAGATATTTGCAATAAAAGCGAGTATGCAATTGCATTTAAACATGAATTGCTAAATTTAGTGCTTATTTGGCAGGTATAAATTATATTCTTACAGGAATATGTTATTACAAAATATTGCAATTCGAATATATGTATGTAATTTTCCATTAGGGATTTCAGGAGCAAATTACCTTCGTTATTATCTACATTGCTCCCATCAATGTCATTTAAACCAGGATCAGTATCCATTTCGACTGGTAAGTCTAATGTAGGATCTCTTAGAAGGCCATACAAAACAGGTTCTTTGTTAGCATCAAAGTGAGCCTCGCCAAATAAAGCACCACGACGGCAATCGATTTGGAGCTTTGACCTAGGAGGGCCATTGACGACTAGAGATTTGGGACATGTAGTGCATCCTTACTTTCAAGTGACAACTGTTCCTTTAAAATACTTTGAATGACATGCATTTCTTTATCTTGAAGAAACTGACGTAGAAGTGAATAGGACTCGGCCGAAACACTGACAACAAACTCGGAAGCTCTAAATGATTCAATTAAAGGATTCATTGACAAGTGTTGTGAACTAGTAATGTTCGACAGCATATTAATATCTGACTGGTAAAAATCTTCTTGATATTTTCTGAAGGTTATGAGGAACTTTTTGGCTGATATCATAAGAAAATGAATAAAATTACCCTCTCCACAAATATTTCCACTGACTAGACGGAGATACATATGGACAAAAATAGGGAAGAGTAATGTAGACAACTCCACCTGAAGGTACGCAACGGCCGTTAGAACTAAGCAGTTTTTTACTTTATGCATATCAGGAACCGAATCCACAAATGTGAGGATAGACTGGTAGTTAGCGCAAAAGTTCTCTGGTTCATCCTTTACTTGACTGAAAGACCGTAACATAAAGTAGAAAGAACTGACGCTTTAAATTTCAGAAATTCTTCGGCAATTTTTTCATTAATGAGACCAGCTTCTTGTTTTAAAGCAAGCTCTGACTCCTTTAAAAAAATACTAAACTCCAAAGGCTTCTACTTTTAAATTGTACTTCTGGAGAATCTTCAAAGCACTTAGGATTTCCTCATTCGAGCCCATTGCCTTCTGTGTTCCGATGATACCAAAAGAGGCGGTGACCTTAATGAAATATCCAATAGTAATCTGATGTTGTTACAAATGATTTTAAAATGGGGGTTATGGTAATTAATGTAGATGTGCAACATTTTTACGGGCGCGTTATAAATTTTGAATTACTCAAAATCAGGTTAAGCATGTGACTACTAAGTATGTTAATTCAGTACTATTTTTACTTAAGTCTTGTTCGACATCCATTTGTTCGCTATACAAAGTGACTCTGTCCATTGTTACTGCAAATTTCTGTCGCGTTAGTTACCTAGATACATGGCAATATTTCCAATGAAGTTCTTTCTGGATTTACTGGTTATCGCTCATCTTAATTAATAACACAAATACTCTAAATATATGCAGTCTTCCTAGAAGTCAGATAAATAGCACCGATCAATCTTATGTCCGTTGATATTAGTTTGGTGTTTTGTGCAATTTTTTATGTACTATTCAGAAGTAGCACTATGATGTGGGTTGTTGATGTCAACAGTAGTAGGCATCGCCAATCAAAAGCGGGATACCTGGAGGAAGAGGGTTGAGAAATTCGAAGAGAAGAAGATGAGAACAGAGGGTGATTGGAATATAAATGAGGAAGTGATAAAGTCTGAGATAATTTATGGATATTTTGCAAATATAGTACTTATTGTAAGGTTCGCAGATCTTATCAAAAACTTTGTAATGTTGTATTGAAATACATATGGTTGTCCCCGCTTATGTTCTCACTCACTACAGTATCACGTCAGATCTTTCTTGTCATCTTAAAATATTAGCTGGTAGAACATTTTAACAATATATATTTTTCTACTCAAAAGGAGATAGAATAAAAATGCAAGGATTCAAAATATACAGAGGATGAGTAAATTGACTGAATAAAGACATGTACATACATGCCCTTCTGTAATCTGAAGAGGGACTGAGAACATTGTACGCATATCTTCAGGACGGATACGTAAGGGACAAACTTGTAAGTCAAGAAAATTCATTGGGTTATTTGTTCATATTCCAGATGGCCATGCTGACACGGTTTGTGGACGATGATCCGTAAACGTCCGCACGCCATATTTTATCATACTTCATGACACCTGAATTTGCCAGCCAATTCATTTTACTTGGCTTTTCGTCCAAAAGAGCAATTTAGAAGTGCAGGTTTTAAAGGTGTATACGAAGTAATAACTATTTTTCTCATCTTCAGGAGCATTAACACCATTGTTTTTTCCTCATCCATCAACGAAAAAGAGCTTGCAAAACTGCATAACATCGCGACTCAAAGATATTTTAACGATGTGAGAAAAAAATACAAAAACGTCATTGAGGAGAACAGAGATATTTATGAGCTTATTTAGAGTTATAACTATTCACTGCTGTTCTAAAGGTGCAATTTTTAGTATTAACGAACATGACCGTAAGCAACACTTCACGTAGACAGTTATATGACAAACTGTGGATGGTAGATATCGTTGCAGTTGTTTATATTAATTAAATCTCAGAATTCGTAGGCAGATTATTTTGCTTCGCAATAGTCAACCTGCAGTTCTAGAAAGGCATTACTATTAAAATGCTTACTATTTTTAATGCTGTCAATTTTAGTCGTCATGTGGTTGTTGTTAAAATAAAGTCCAATGTAGGAGACACCTGGCGTTAGATCAAAGGTAAATTTAAAAATTAGTTGAAAAAGAGACTATTCGGGGTGTATTTAGGTGTAAAATCGACAATATGAAATTCGACATTATTTCCCTATGACAGGTGATAAAGCAGACAATCTAGCGCGTTTCCCCACTATTTTCCCTTTGTTTTCCAACTGACTTTCATCTTCATTTCCCTTTTTATTGGTTGCTTGGGTGAACCATAAAAAAGTCACGATTTTTAAACTGACATTTCACCGTTCTATTAGGCAACTTCTCGTGATTTGGTTAAACTTGAAGTAGCAACAATGGGAAGTGATTTGAAATTAGTACCAATAAGAGTCACTTAATCAGCCTCTGTTCGAGCAAAGTTGGCGAGTACTAGGTGGTTTTAGCGGCCCAAAATCTGAATTCATTTGGATCGTTCCTAATTTTTATTGAGATATACATGTCGCCAATCAACGTATATACTTATTAACTCAAATCACGTCAATGAAAAACGGAATTAGGTAAGCCAAATACGAGAATGACTTTCCAGTCTATGTATCTCATACAAATGTTGATCTGAACAGACAATCAGAGAATTGCAGAAAACGAAATGAAGAGACGAGAGAGAAGCGAAACTAAATGACCAGAAGGGGAGCCTATAGCAACTCATGTTCAGATGAGTTTGCCCTCATCTAATTCGTTTAAGCCCTTTCGTTAACCTATTAAACGGATAAGTTTATCTGTACTTTAACAACTTATTCTACCTTTATTATTGTTATGCTTGTATGAATAAGCATGCTTGAACATTGTTGACTGCTCACGAATATATTCATCCCACTAACCTTATTATTATTCGCTTAATCGATTCGATAGTCCATTCATTTTTCTATATATATACATGTATATTTAACACTACACATTTTCCACACATTCTCACACAGTCACGGTTCGCTGACTCATTCGCCTCTCTGCTCTGTGATTTGAGTTGCCTGCTAAGAAAACTGTATTTGCTGCTTCTCTTTGCCTTCTGATTTCAACTACCGTTGGGGTTTATACGATAACGGTTACGAGGGTGGTTGGTCAACGAAGCACAGCCACTACAGAATTGGCGATCCCGACGAGCGAACACGAAACAACTTTCGACGATATAATCAATTTCCCGAAATTCAACGCACTTCACCTCAATTTGGATTATCATATGGACTATAATTTTAACTGTGGATTTATTATATTACTATTTTAATTACACGTACATTATTTCACAAACATTATTGAATTAACGATAATAATCATATTAAATAACAATTATTGACAAACAATTGATATATTGGTGCAATTTAGTAAGTCTGTTCTATGTTATAAATTGTACCATTTGTTTGTATCATTGTTTTTGGTCCGTCCATTTTTCTTTATGACAGTTACATGATATTTGTGTGCTACTTAATATTTTTATAAACATGTCTTCCGAAAACACTATATCAAGTTTACAGCAAACCCAGTCCGTGAGGTCTCTTAATCTTCCTTCCCCCTCTTTTAATGTCACCGACCCAAAACTTTGGTTTATTAGACTTGAAAATTATTTTCTGGCTGACCCCATTCACTTACAAAGAGATAAATTCGGTTTCACAGGCACACTCCTTCCAGACGAAGTAGCAGATAGCGCACGAGAGGCATTAGCGAAACCAGACATCGAGAAGCCGTACGATGTACTAAAGCAAGCAATAATTAAAACTCTCTCTCTAAGTGATCAACAAGCACTCGAACAACTTCTTAACCAAGTGCAAATGGGAGATAGAACCCCATCACAGCTAAAAACGTATATGAAAAGCCTGTTGGGCGATAGGCAAATAGACAATAACCTGTTTTATCAACTGTGGCTTGGGCGACTTCCGTCAAGTGTACAGCAGATCCTAGCCGTCGGAGATACGGACGCCGATATAGACAACATAGCAAAAATAACCGATAGAATGTACGAGAGAACCAAACAAACAAGCCCTCCGTTACGCAACGTGATGGTAGATGATAGATTTAGTACTCTACAGAAAGAGGTAGATGTTTTGTGCCGCAAGCTCACAGAATTAACACAGAGCAAAATAAGATCACGAAGATCATCACGAGATTGCTCTTGCGACAGAAATCGATCAGCTTCCAGAGGACGCACAGCTCCTTTGATATGCTGGTATCATCAAATGTATGGCTATAGAGCTAGGAAATGTTTACAACCTTGCAGATTTAACATAACAGGTAAACGATACCCACGATTGTCAATGGCAACGGCATCAAAGAACATAATGCCTGCAAATAGCCGCCTGTTCTATATACAAGACCGAACGACAGGTGCTCAATTCTTAGTTGATACTGGAGCGGAAATCAGCGTAGTACCTCTTGTAAGCGAGGAGAGAAGAAATGTTAGTGCGTCACTAGTGTTAAGAGCAGCAAACAAATCAGACATTAAGACATACGGCAAACGAAAGTTGTCCCTAGATTTCGGACGAGGCGCTTCATACCGCTGGGACTTTGTCATAGCAGATGTATCAGTGCCCATAATTGGCATCGATTTCCTATGTAACTTTGATCTGCTAGTAGACTTGCGACGTCACAGACTTATAAATGGTAGTCACACCACTTCGATAAGAGGAACACTTACAGAAGCCGTTTCCATGAATCTAGTGATAGATAAAAGACACGGTGATCCATATAAATTGTTGTTAAAAGAATTTCCTGAACTCGTGAAAGTAACGTACAATAAGGCAGATCTCAAACACTCCATTCAGCACCATATCATAACGAATGGACACCACTCAATTCAAGGCTAAGAAGATTAGACCCAAAAAAACTAGCAATAGCAAAACAGGAATTCGACAAGTTGATGAAGCTGGGCATTATAGGGCCTTCGAACAGCCCGTGAGCATCCCCATTACATATGGCCCCGAAAAAGAATGGCGAAGTTAGGCCATGTGGAGACTACCGAGCACTTAACAAACAAACAATAGCCGATAGATATCCTATACCACATACCCACGATTTTACTTACAGTATAGAAGGCGATACTATCTTCTCAAAGATCGACTTAGTTAGAGCATACTATCACATTCCTGCTGCTCCACACGACATACCAAAGACAGCGGTAACGACCCCATTTGGACTGTACGAATTTCTGCGCATGCCTTTTGGACTGACGAACGCAGCGCAAACATTTCAACGGTTTATCGACCAGGTCATCAGAGGTTTACCTGGAGTTTACGCATATATTGATGACTTACTAGTAGCCAGCGCCACTAAGGATGAACACATACAACAGTTACGACAATTATTCATGCGACTGCGAGAATATGGCGTTTCCACAAACATTGAGAAGTGTGA